TATACATATATAATTCTATACATATATATATATATATATATATATATATATATATATATATATATATACATATATGCATAGAATTGCATATATATGTATATGTTTCTCTCTCTCTATATATACGTACCGATATGTAATCGTTCTATCTAGTGTACAGATCAGGAAAGTATTAACTCCCTATGACACGTAATCGCTTGGCGGTAGATGTCTGTCTGTCGTAACTTGTTTTATTAATCTCCTCTCTTTTACCTGATCTCTCTTGCTCCCTTTTTCTTTCTCAGTCTCTCTCCTCGTCTACATCTTTCTCTCCTGTCTCCCCTATTAACTCTCTCTTTCTTTCTCTATATTCCTCTCCTTGATTGCAATCTGTGCATCGAACGTGTAACTACTCTCTGTCGGCCGTCGTCTTACCAAGTAGATACTATCCCCGCTTGACATGGAGTCGCTGGCCGAAGTGTATGTATGCGGTATTATTTGAAGAAGGTGTTTATCTTAGAAGGGCTCTTATGTACCATAAATATATGCATATAATTGAACCGGTCGCCTAATCGGGCTCGGGACGGAGAACGAGAAACGCGCGTTGAGCGAGAAAAAAACTAAAAAAGAAGAAAAATAAAAGAGAAAACACGCGGCGCGTCGCTGACTCTGACGATTCGTGAGAAACTCCGCTCGGCGCGATCGCGCCAATCGCGCGAGTCGCTGATTAGCACGGCGAGGGTAATTAGCGGCGTCCCCGCTGCTGCACGATGTGATCATCGTCTCACCGCCTATCATCCTCGGTCGGCTCGCGCATATTCGCCCTAAAGACGAGCGTACGACGCTGAAGAGACGTTACCCGGCGACTCGCCGTGCTTATCCACGCTGCGAGATGCGCCCGTCGTTGATCGAGCCGATTATCGTGATTATCAGTTATCACCATAGGTATCGGGGCTCGCAGTGGTGCGAACATTATTAGGACGATCCCGCGAAAATCTCTCCGTCGTAGGTGCTCTCCTCCCGGGTGCAGGTGTGCTCGGAATTCGTCGTCGCTCTTTCTTTTGCTTCAGTATCTCGCACCTCTCGAGATTATATTATTATATCGCGCGCAGATGGAATAAATAATGACAGAATAATTCCACTGATAATCGTATCACGGTCAACGTCGCCGACGCGCATCTCACATCTCATTTGTGCTCCATTAGGTCATCTTTCTATCTGTTTCTCTCTCTCTCTCTCTCTCTCTCTCTCTCTCGCTCTTTTTCTCATTACTCGTCATAACTCTTAATATCGTCGACACGTCGTGTCTGTCATCGTTGTTATCTCTCTATTCTTCTATCTATGATTTCTAACGTAAGCGGTTAATAACAAAAGCCGGTTGCAGTCGTGGCTGATTGATTGAGAAAACATTTAATTAGTGATTCTCATTTAATATGTGATTCTCTTTTTCCTCTCTTTCTTTCTTTTTCTCTTTTTTTCTCTGACTTCCTTTCCCTCCCTCTTTCCCGCTTGCATTTGGAGCAATTTAACCGAAGCTCAATTTTGCTCTCAAGTAACGTTTGCATTTCCAAATTCAATATTCTAAAAAAGCCCCAGGTCTTGGATCAAAATGTCACCGGTGAATTCTTCATTTTCTAGAGAAGGCGTTTCCCCATTGATACACAAGAGACAATTTTGTTGGTCGCACGATAAACGGCGTGATTGCAACCGGCCTAAAAGGAAGCAGGGCGAACGATTATGATTGCATTGTTGCGATTGGAATAATGTACATGTAATATCTTAGCAACATAATCGTGAGCCACCTCTGGGTCTTCGTCTCGATTATTATTATTATTCTTACTTTCTTCTCCTTTGTTACATTTCTTTCTCCTTTTTACTGTTACCACCACCACCACTACTACTCTGTTTTCTTACTACTATTCCGTTAATTATTACCATTATTTATTATTATTATCGTTTGACCTCGATTAATACGATATTATTATTTGTTCTCGTTACGCGGCACGTCTTGTCGAAGAACGCGATATTCGAGATGCCTTTCCCTGTGCAGCGAACAATGGTAAAAGCTGTCTAATCAGTGTAGCATCATAATCGCGTCTGCTCTCTCACTCAGAACTCGAACGTTTTCGTCTCTCATCGTATTCAGCGGACGGGACGTGCTGGCGGATTTTGTTTGCTTTCTTGTCTGTGACTTTATTTCGCAGTTATTTACGCACGCATCCACTGAGAACGATCTTTCGTTTCCGTTAATGTGTGGCACCTTCGACCCTGTCGTAGAGCGAGGAGATCGGAGCGAACACTCTGACGATGTTAGACCACCAAGGCGGTAAGCAGCTCTCAACAGCAATAAGTCACTCTCTTGCGAAGAATGAGCGAGCGATGCGATGACAGTTTCCGACGAAACAAAACGGAACAACTAAAGAGAAATGAATATTTGTCGGTTGGGAGGGGGGGGGGGGGGAAAC